TTTCAAAATTCACTTTGCCTTTTATAGCCACTGTTCCAGTCACTAGTGGGAGCTGTTTACCAGTCAAGTCATAGGATGGTGCATATGGGGGTGGGGTCTCTATTATGCTTTCTTTTTTCCCTACTCTCTCTCTAAGTTCTTTTATCAATTGTGCTCCCTTTTCTTTAAATAAATTTAACACCTCTTGTTCTTTTCCCCGTTTCTCATCTCTTTTCTTGCTCTTATCATGGGCTTTGTGATTTTTTATCAGAGCTCCCATTTCCCTACACATAGCCAAATCAAATGTTCCCTCTGCTGGCCACTTAGTATTTAATTTTTTGGTCCTTTTTTCCCACTTTTTTGACAAGGTTTTAATTGTATCCCTGCATATCGGATATTGTGATGCAAGCTGTTCTACAGGGGTCTCTTCTTGGGGTGACACCGAAGCCATTGTTTCAGCACCTAAATATTTGTACCCTACTCAATTAGTTTAAGGCACAATCACTTAATTTTCTACTTATGTCTAACAATTCAGGTATTTGTTTTGTTTTCTTAAAATATTTCAAAATAATTCGTATTGGTACCTTAGACAATGGCTTTGCGTCACTTCTTCTAGCTTGTTCTATGTACTGCGCCGCCAAATTATGTTCTCCCCCAGGTATATTAATTCAAAAGGCTGTGTTTTCCCCAAACCACTGGCCTCGTACAGTTATATCTCCTTCCCTATACAAATAAGTAAGAGATGGATTAAATTTGTTCAGGTGTGGCCTCAGGGTTTCAAGAGTTAACTGTTTTTTGATCACATTACGCCAATCCACTAAGGGCCATTCTTGCTCAAGCTGATCCAAGTTTGTTATCTTTGTCGATTTTTAAAGAGCTCACTTTTCCTTTGGTCTGTCAACTCCTGTCTCTGCCCTTCGTTATCTATAAACTCATTTTCTAACCAGAAGTGATTCTTAATGTCTTTGGTTAGTTTTAATGCCTGTTTAAAATCGTACGTCTTCGTCCTTTCTTTCTCTCTATATTCTCTTCTCCTCTGCCTCAGAATGATCTCTCACTCTGGTCTACATGTGTTTTCTTTTTTTCTTTTTTTTTTTCTTTTTTTTTTTTTTTTTTCTTTTTTTTTAAGATGTCAAAGAATAAAAAGGCTCTCCTTCTCTAAAGCTCTCCTTCTCTGTCACTTCTCTCCCTCCTTATTTCTTTATCTCAACTCAGATACACTTAGTTTGTTAGTATATTCATTCACACACCCGGGATTTCATTCACACACATACACATACATTCACTCGCTATTTGATATCTTATACTAAATGCGGAAAACAATGCTTCGTTACTCAGTTCTTGTCCAGCAAAAACTGTGTTTCTCTGTCTGGATCGCAGCGCTTACAGTCTGGCGAGTGGCCAAACAGTCGACACAACCAATTTCTTTGAATATTTCTCGTTCTCTGATATTTATATCTTTGTACTCTTTGTTCACTAATTTGATTTTTATCATCCATTTAATTAAAAATAAATTGTCCGCACACTTAAATTAAGCCAATTTAAACACCAAGCTTTGGTCAAAAGACCATCCTCAGGGCATCATCATCCATTTAATTCTCAAAGCTTTGTTTCTCCATAATTTTTTATTTTACTAACTTAAACTGTCACTTGCAGTTCAACTTTTTGACGGTAAGCTCAGAATTTTGACAAATGATTTGCTGATTGGCTATACGCCCAGATTGGCTGTACGCCCGGTTTGGCTGTACGCCCAGATTGGCTGTATGCCCGGTTTGGCTGTACGCCCAGACTGGCTGTACGCCCAGATTTGATCTGCAGTATATCTAAAAGTCCCCTTTTGTCTGTGTCTTCTCCTGAAGCATATTATTCTTGTACTTTTAATCAGTTTGTTCTATCTCAGTTATTTTATTCTGTTTCCTCAAAATCTATTAGTAATTTTTATTGAGTTGATGTACCTCGTGCATATATATATATATATTTAATTAACCTCTCCCTACACTGCCCTCCTTACCGCTCAGTTTTAGTAAAAATAACCAAACACTCAGTGCACTTTCTACATTTAAGACAAACAAAACATCCAGAACAAACAAACAAATAATAGACTAACAGCCCCCCAAGTGCACTACACACACATGCATTTTTCACGTTGCAACACTCACACCCACACGCACACACACGCTTCTCACGTTACCACACTCACACACTTTCACTGCTTTTCCTAATATACTAATAGACTTTACTTTGTGTCTAGAGGTTGTGTCTCTTTGTCAGGGTCACAGAGCTTGCAATCTGGCAGGTGACCAAACAAACGACGAAACCAATATCTTGGGATATTCTTTGCTTTATAGTTTCTATATTTCTGGGATTTCTTTTCGCCAATTAGATTTTTACCATCCATCAATTTCTTCAATTATTTTGTTAATTCATAGTTTGAAGCTTCTTATTCACTGTGCACAATTTTATTACTGTTGTTCTTTCTCCCTCAACTCAGTCTCTCTCTTAACAGTAGCTCAGGGGCTTTTTGGCAGTGTGCCCAGTTTGACTGCAAGGCCACTCCGTCTGCTTCTACAGTCAGAAGGCACCCCTTCTCTCTATCTGGGGAATTTTTACCTATTCTCTTAACTTTTTCTTTAAATTAATCACCTGTTTTGATCAATATTTTTATTAAACTGATATATTGTAATTCAATGTTCTCTCTTTTCTCTCTGCAGATCTTCCACTTTTTACGCTATCCCTCAGCCGGCACACTTTTACACTTAACAACACTAACAACAATTATAGCGTTTCTTTATCTTTGTCATTCATACAAGCAAATTCACAGCCCTTCTTGTGATCTGCCCCCTATAGCCCTTCTTATAGGGTTTTTAACATTCACTCAGGTAAAATACAGCCCTTCTTGTATTGTTACCCCCTGTAGCCCTTCTTACAGGTTATTTAACATTCACTCAGGTAAAACACAGCCCTTCTTGTGATTTTACCCCCTGTAGCCCTTCTTACAGGTTATTTAACATTCACTCATGCACTCATTCACACACATGCGCTTCTCCAGGACCTGAAAGCTCGACTCTTTCTCTTTTTAATTTAATTTATTCTTTTAGGTTCTTTTTGGTGGGGTCTTTTATTTAAGGCCGTTACCACCCAGGCGCTTACCAGGAGCCTCACAAAGCAAAAATATAAGCAAAAAGCTGCTTACCTTATTTTTATTGGCGCCTTTTGTTTTGTGAGACTTCTGTCAGCATGCCCACCGTGGCTACTCCGACCCCTTCTCCACTCCTGGCTGGCTCGCCAAATATGTTGTGGCAAATTCTCGATCTTTGGTTCAATTCTTCAAAGTCTGGTTCAGGTCTCAGAAGAAATCTTTCAGAGTCGAAGTTTCAGGTCTCAGAAGAATAACTTTATTGAGCAGTTCAACAAAGTGAGATGACGGCCACTCATCTGATCTTTCATGGGCCAGTGCTCTAGTCTTATACCTTTTTCTTATCTTTAGTATTCAATTAGCGTTTGTATTAGTATCTTTTTACACCATGGGCATCTGTATTAGTATCTTTTCACATAATGGGCATCTGTATTAGTTTTTCTTTTCACACAATGGACCTCTTGCTTTTAGCAGTCGTTTACTCAATGGACATCTTGTTTCAGTATCTTTTTCTTGGTGGTACATCGTTACATTGTATACAATATGTTTCTCTTCCAGTGCCTCCCAACACCTGCATCTGTGCTACAAGTCTTTTGGGTACTTTTCCACTCTCTTGTCCATGTCCTTATGTGCCCTATCCTCACATGCCCTGTGACCTAGTTTTTCTGCTTGGCATTACAGCATTCAGACCTGGTTTTCTCTAACATTACAGCATTTTATATTCAGACCCATGTATGAGACATGTATGAGACAAATGAAATTCCCCAACAGTGACATTTTAGATACATATGGATTTTTTTCCCAACACACATTTTATTTTTTATATTCAACAGATAGGCCTATAATTTCTTTACAATGAAAGAAACAAGAAAAAGCCAAAAGCACCATAAATGTGGTCCATAATGTATCCACTTTATTCAGCCATATAGCTTTATGTGAGAAACAGACTGAAATTTTTACCCAAAATTTCAAATATGTTGCAGGTTGGACATCAATAAAAAATATTATTGGTTCTCAAGCCAAATTTCCTGATGTCCAACTAGCTGCATATTTTTATTTTTTTCACATATGGGTCATACAGATTATGTTATCACATGCTTAATTTGCGGGTGGGACACGTCCCCACCCCTTTTTGCCAGTGTTGATGTAAACATCTCGCTTCACAGATATAATGCAAAACATATCCAGATGACGTTAATTTATAGATATAGTAGATGTAAGAATGAAACTATCACATTAAACATTAGTTCTCAATACACTATTGAAATTGATTTCTGGGCATTGTAATGGTTTTTTTTTTTCTACAATTGTTTTTGAACATATCTGATATAGCATTGTATTAGCAGCAACATTCAGTGGTCACTGTAGATGTCGAAGGATCTATGTAAAAAGTCTTTAATTGTACTTTTGTTTTCCACAAAATAAATAAACTCATACAGCTTTGGAAAGACAAGATGCGAGAAAATAATTATTAAAGTTTCATTTTTGGGGCGAACTAACTATCCTTTTAAGGATTTGGCAGATAGATAGATAGATAGATAGATAGATAGATAGATAGATAGATAGATAGATAGATAGATAGATAGATAGATAGATAGTTAGATAGTTAGATAGATAGTTAGATATACAGACAGACACACAACAGTTAGAAAGATGACAGACAGACGGATCATAGATCGATAATTTGTTGAAATTAATAATAAAACGATCAAACTTTTATTTCCCCTTATAAATAAAGTGACTAACAGACCTAAATTAAAACATTAATATGCAGTAGGCTAGTCTATATACGATCACCATCGTTATTTTTTAATTCAATAGACGGATTCTATCTATTTAGGCATTTTATTTGTCCTAACTCGTAACTCAATCTAGTCTGATTTACCTGTACATGTAGGTACGTGCAGTTGCGACTCTTCTCACCTGTATAACAGCGACTCACAACTGATGTTTCTTCAAAGAAGGGACATTTTCCTCTGTCCTTTGCTCTTAGTCCACCGAACGGAACCTCTGTTGTTTATTTCTTTAGGAAACTTGAAAGTCCGGTTTACAGTTAGTCTCCCATGCTAGCCGTGCCAGAGAGCGGTACCGTGTGTACTCGAGCAGCAGGTCAGAGTCTCCTCAGACCACGGCCGCGCGCACGGGCACGGGCACGCACGTGCACTGTGCACAGGTTGAGCTATGCCAATGCAAATTTTGTATAATCTCACAAACAGAGTTAAGCACGGCGAAAACGCCCGTTACTATTTGCGATGTGCACAAATTATGTTTAGCTTTACATGTACTGATATCAACAGGTTTGGGGGTGGGGTTAGGGTTGATATCATCACCTGCTTATTTACTACTGTGTCTACTCTACAAGATGTCCTCAACGAATGTCTCTCTCTCTCTCTGTGTGTGTGTGTGTGTGTGTGAATTCCTCAGATTACTGCCTAAAACTTGCCTCAGGTGACAGGGTAACAAACCCATTTTCTTCACCTTGAAAGCACATTATACATATACACTTAATGTGTATGATAACCCCATTCAGTTAGGCCTATTTGAACTTATTTCATACCTTTAACTCCAATTGTAGTGACCAGCTGGGGATTTTGAACTCAAGTTTTCAAAAATTAAACTTAATCAGTTGTCTTGACTATGTGTGAGTTGAAACAAAGGTTATTTTCAAGTTGAGTTAACTCATGTTTTTCAAGGCAGATCAACTTTAGTTTCTAAGTTTAACCGATTGGAAATGCAAAAAATGCAAAACATGCAAAAAATGGCCAATAATGAAGGAATGACATTTAATTAAACATTTCAACACTTTTTCTTTGTCCCACTATACGCCCTATAGCAGTCATTTTAAAAATATTTTCTGCATTACGTGGAAGGAAAACATTTTATAGTCTATTTCTTTTTTATGATTCACTTATTTTGAAGAATTCCTTAAATGGCTTTGTTACCTAAAAGCAGTGGGATATGAATGCAGCCACCATAAACAATATTGCAAGTATCATGTAATTTTATTTATTGATATATTTCACGTTATTAAAGTATTTAATTTTTAAAGTTACTTTTAGTATTTATACCTATGCTAAGTAAAAGTAAAATTAAGCATAGGTAATGTATTAAAGTCGCCCTCTGCTGTTTTTAATATTAGTATTCTGACAGCAAATGTTATAGGCACTCAATTTCACTACAAATATAATATATTCTTTGCTATTTTTATTTTAGTAATGAGAATCATTTAAAGTAAGAAAGATCAAATGTTTTTTTGTTTGTTCAAATCAAATATTCTCCTGATATTTGTTAGTCCTATCTCAACCTAACAGTATTCTATTCTATTCTATTCTATTCTATTCTGCACAATAAACCCAGAGTGGCAGCATTAACAGTTGGTTCTGTCAGTATCAGGCTTGTAAAACGAACAAATGACTCAGTTTTCGAATGAAATCATTAGTTAGCAGCACATTCACATAAGAGCGTCAGCTTCTGCCTCAATGTTTAAACTTGCGCACCGTCATAGGTTTCTTCTGAGATGTTTACCTTGCTTCATTCATCACTAGTTAACTCATTTGATACTTTTCAAAGGCCACAATTACACCCATTGTCTTCTCATCTGAATAATTGATTGGTTGTCCACCTGCTCATAGGCTGTTTAAACCACACATTTGTTGTAAATGACAGAACGAGGACCATCTGTTTGAGGTCGAGCAGCAACAAAAGCACACTGATGTGTTTGGTCTATGATGTCTGGTTCACGTCCAGATATTCACACCTGCGCGACCCGAGACACGTCTCAACCCGTTCACCTGATGGGTGTTAACGCTTCTTAAATATTTAAACAGAATGGGTGGCATCACAGTTCATCAGTCTCGAAACACAGGCAGAATAAAAATAAAAGATAAAGGTGTACAAAGTAGCATCCAAAATTTAGCAACATCAAAAGTCAGTGAATGTTGTCTTTATATCTTTATAAAATAAGACATTTTTATATATAAAAACAATTATATGAGATTATATGATTATATGAGGTTGGCAATTTTATTTTCTAACAATAAACACTGAATAAAAGTAAAATAATATATATTTTATACAAAAAATTGGCATTTAAAACTAGCTTTTTGTGTGTGTTAAATTATGGTTTATCTAAAATATATATTTTTTTACAACAAACAAATGGCATTTGTATCATAATAGACACTTATTTTTATCCTAATCATGAACAACACACCATTTTTCTTTTTTTAAATATGGGAACAGTGGTCTTATCTATAAATAAGTATAGATTAACAACATAACTTCGATTTGACTTTCAGAATAATGACCTTCGCTCAAAAGCACAGCCGTAATAAAGACGGATCATGATTGTAGTATATATCTGCTGTTCCTAGAACACGAAATCATTTCGCACACATAATAAATATTAACTCGCACACATCAAGAAGATTTACAGGTCCATGTCAGATCATTCAAGGTTATTACTTCATTTAGTTATTAAGTGACTATGTAAAAGCACAATTATCCCTGTGAAGTGAGTAAGGGAGTGTTCACACTTGGCAGGTTTGGTTCAATTTATGTCACACTTGTAGTTCAGTTTGCTTGGTTCGTTTGGTCCGGACCAAAAAACAAACATTTAGTCCTGGTCCTCTTAGCGTTCACATTGGCAATTTAACACCGAACCTAAAGGCACAGGGATACATTCACTACCTGATTGGTCGGCTTTTATTACGTCTATTTTGCAACGGAACTTACCGAACATCCAAAACAACGCAATGTGGTTCTGATGCCTACAGTACCGAACTGAGACGAGCAACATCGCGACTATGACGAGAAAAACAGGAACGCTTGAGCTTTCTGTCCTTTTTATGGTCGCGTCTTGTGACATCACGTCCTATTTTTGGTTTGTTTACATGTGTTTGGTCCGTGTTGTGTTCATATTTCAGTCGAACCGCACCAGAGTTGGTTTGGAGGCAGCGTTCACACTTATTCAAATGAACCGCACTAACAGACCAATCACACCAGAGTTCGCTTTGATCCAACCAAACATGCCAAGTGTGAACACGCCCTAAAATGAACTCTGGTGCGATTGCTCTGTTAGAGCGGATCATTTGAATAAGGGTGTATTCACACCTGCCTTGTTTGGTTCGATTGAATCGAACTCTAGTTCGTTTCCCCCCTTGGTGCGGACCTTTTGGGCAGGTGTGAATACAGCAATCGAACTCGGGTGCGGACCAAACAACCGAACCGAGACCCAGCTGAAGAGGTGGTCTCGGTACGGTTCCTAACGAACTCTGGTACGGTTCGTTTACGGTGTGAACATGAACCGACCCAATTGCAAGAAAGCACTGCGCCTTTGAGTGAACAGGCTTCCGTAGTCGGAGTTGCGTTATGGGAAAGTGATCTGTTGTAGCCTACATTTGATAAAATGAGTCGTGGTTTGACCTGGAGCTTCGAAGAGACGAGCTGCCTTATTAACATTTGGGCAGATGCCCATGTAGCACAGAATAACACAAAATTAGTAAAAGAACAAATATTGCAGTACGAAATATCTCCATGCTGAGCCTTTTTTGCACTTCCTGACTTCCCTACTTGAGAATCCTTGTCCAATGAATGGACGACCTTAGCACACGTGTGGTTTTGTTGACAAATTTTGGTTCACTTGCAAAAAGAGCAGTGTGAAAGCGAACCAAAAAAAAAAAAAAAAAAAAAAAAAAATTGAGATATGAACACAACACGGACCAAACACATGTAAACAAACCAAAAACAGGATGTGATGTCAGTGTGACTGTGTGAACGCTAAGTGAACCAGAACTGAATGTACCATTTTATTTTTTGGTCCGGACCAAAAGAACCGAACTGCAAGTATGAACACACCCTTAATACACAGAAAATAAATCCTGAAAATAGGGACTGCAAAAAACTGCATGGCACTAGCAATGCCAATGTCATCATGGGTTTGGCTCCCGGGGAACTAATACTCAAAAAATGCAATGTAAGTTGCTTTGGATAGAAGTGTCTGCCAAAATGCATTAAAGATTGCAAAAGTATTTACTTAATGCTCAAAAGTAAAGGAAGTATTTCTGTATTATAAAAATTCAAACGAGTATGGACTACAAATGAGTATGTTTACGTGATGAAATAAGTGGGTTTGTCGGATCAATGAAACTGGCTCTTTCAAAGTGTTTACCCTCAAAAGCAGATTAGCTCAAGATATGACTTAGACAAACGTTCATAATGTGTGTAAAGGGTTTGCGGTGGTTGCTAGGATTTGAGTAGAGCTTTCAAAACACGAGGAAGACTTTGGACGGGCCCATTCAAGCGCATCATTCACAATGTTCCTGTGTCATGTACGAGCCCCTAAAGGGAAAAAATTAGGATGGGAGATTTTCTTTTTCAAAATCTTTTGTCTTCCCTCGCAAAGATTCAGGGGCTCGTAGTCACGTCTATCAAACTATATTAGTGGAAAACTAACACTGAAATAATACAGAACCTAAAATACTGTGAGAGGAACACTTTTTTTTAATAAACTCACAGATATCAAAGTTTGAGGTTTGACAATGATTATTTATGATGAAAATAACAATACAGCACTTAAACACACATTCTCTCTCTCTCTCACACACACACACACCTATGAACACGCAGATAAGCTCTAGCTGCGATGCACGACGCTGTCGATGCTCTCCTGAAGCTCTGCCATCTTCTTCAGCACCAGATTCACCTTCTGCTCATCAAACTCCAAACACACAAACTCAGAGCTCTGAAGTAGAGAGAGAGAGAGACCGTTTACATTCAGTATGAATGGTGAGGCTGAAGTGACCCAAAATCATTTTCAACAACACATGACGTGTAATATCAGAGCTGCTGCTGACTCGGCTGTTGCAGAGTCCACCCGCATCCACCCAGCGGTGTCAGATTCACTGCACGGACAACACTCTAAAAGTAGAGAATCGACATCAATCCTCGGAATTCTGCACTTGTCATTTAGAATCAATAAATAGAATGTTTTTAAATAATCAGATTCCAGTTTTCCTGGAATTCTTGATTCTGATTGGTCAGTCAGCATTCCGTGAACAGGTTTGTTTGCACAGTGATGCTGGACTGTTCATCATTGTCTGAACTGGTTTCCTACTGAGTTTCTTATCCCTCATATCACTTGTGAACCAATTTTATGTCCATCAAATCGCGTATTGAGTAGGTACTACTATTTGAATTTGAATTTACTTCATGTAGAAAAAGTTTGTTCTATATAGTATGAATATGGGTAGTATGAACGAAATTCTGTCGTACTACATACGCCATGTTGTTAAAGTCACGTGACCCACCAGTTACGTCGCTTCACCTCCATTCATAAATCAGATACTACTCTGTTGGTGTACTGTTTTTCACATGCAGTAGGGAAGTATTTGTTTCGGACAAATACCATTTATAACATACCATTTATCTTTTTTAAAAATGGGAACAGTGGGCTTATCTATGGAAGATTGTTTCCGCCACTGAATTAAAAAAATAAAATAATAATTGCAACTTTTTATCTCACAATTGCGAGATATAAAGTAGCAATTCTGAGAAATAAAGTCGCAATTGCGAGAAAAAAAGACTTTATAACACATAATTGCGAGTTTATACCTCGAAATTCTGACATCTTTTCTCAGAATTGTGAGATATAAACTCGCAACTGCCAATTCTAAGGAAAAATAAAAGACTAATTTTTTTCCTCTCAGAATAGTTTATATCTCACAATTCTGACTTTATAACACACAATTGCGACTTTATATCAATCAATTCTGACTTTATATCTCGCAATTCTGACTTTATAACACGCAATTGCGACTTTATATCAATCAATTCTGACTTTATATCTCGCAATTGTGAGAAAAAAAGTAAGAATTGTGAGATAAAAAGTCGCAATTACCTTTTTTATTTTTCATTCTGTGGCGGAAACAAGCTTCCATACAGGAGAGTTAGTAGATTAAATTAACATTGGAGGATTTGACCTTGAAAAACTGTGTGTACTGACGTCTTTCCGCGGTTAAAACAACATTCCTTCTGATGTTCATTCATGTTTATTTGACGCTATAAATTAACTAGAAGGAAGAGATGATCGGTTCACGAGCAGCTTTAACTGAGCGATCTGTCACGACACATTAAAGAGACGAAACTGTATTTATTGTTTAAATTTCTTTTAAAATGACCAAATTTGAAAGTTGAGACTTTGTATCATAAAGTAACCTGCTCTGTCCTGTCTGTCGACTTTAATTCATGCAATTCTGACTTTACAACACGCAATTGCGACTTTATATCAATCAATTCTGACTTTATATCTCGCAATTCTGACTTTATATCTCGCAATTCTGACTTTATATCTTGCAATTCTGACTTTATATCTCGCAATTCTGACTTTATAACACGCAATTCTGACTTTATATCTCGCAATTCTGAGAAATAAAGTCAGAATTGCGAGATGTAAACTCGCAATTGTGAGAAAAAAAATCTGAATTATGAGATAAAAAGTTCCAATTACCTTTTTTATTTTTCATTCTGTGGTGGAAACAAGCTTCCATACTTATCTATTCTCAACATAACTCTGATCTTTGATTCTGGGAAGTATTTGTTTCGGACGCAGTGCATTTCCTGGGAAAACCATGAACTTAAAGTACATTTAGCCTACAAACTGGCATAGGTTCTGATCAGTATGCCTTAATTACAGGGCAGCAACAAAATAATGTGTTAAAGCTTTTTTTTTGTTGGTAAAAATGATCCAGAAGGGCAGAAGAATGGGACTGACAAGAAGAATGGGACTGATGAAGAGCGGGAATGACATCAGATGACATCAGCAGCAGATCATTATGACATCATCAGTCGCCGAAGCGGCTTCTATGCAGTGTCTCATTCACACACAACAGAACCAGAGCATAATATAACCCTAACCCTGAACTAACCTGCAACTTTAACACTACTTGCACTGGTGTCTCCTTCAGGAAAGGCAAATTTACCCAATATATAAATACACTACTGTTCAAAAGTTTGGGGTTCGTACAATTATTATTATTATTTTTAAAGAAGTCTGCATTTATTTGATCAAAAATACATTGAAAGCAGTATAATTATGAAATATTATTACAATTTAAAACAACTGTTTTCTATGTGAATATATGTCAAAATGTATTGCTGTGATCAAAGCTGAATTTTCAGCATCATTACTCCAGTCTTCAGTGTCACATGATCCTTCAGAAATCACTCTAATATGATGATTTGATGCTCAAGAAACATTTCTGATTACTATCAATGTTAAAAGAAACAGTTGTGCTACTTCATATTTTTGATAAAACTGTGATAATATTTTTTATTCTGGATGAATAGAAGGTTTAAAAGAACAGCATTTATTTGAGATATATAACATAAATCTTACTGACTCTAAAACTTTTGAATGGTAGTGTATGTACACATTAACAATTATAATTAATTACATAAATATTTCATATTGTTCATTGATAATTCATGTTTGTTCTTAATACATTATTGACTAATGTCAATTTATGTGACTGGCATTATTAAACATGTATTAGTACACACAGAAAATAACCCTAGATTAATAAGACAAGGAAATACATGAACCTAGATTAATAGATGCAATAAAAGTTGTGTCCATTATTGGGTTATGCAGCAATAAATAAACCTTATAGTGAAGTGCTACCAGGTCCCAAATACTGGTGATCGGTTGAAAATACTGAGGAGTTAAAGGCAATAGAAGCAGATTCCAAAACGAGGAACACACACAAGAATAATTGTAATTTGACCATCGGGTGCGGATCCTTAAATCAGAGAAAATGATTGGGGCGGGTGGATGATTTGTATTTAGCTGCGGATTCGGGTGACGTTGGAGCTCATCCGCGTACTCTAAAGCAGTCAGACTCTGCCAGGCGTTAACAGCTCGGGGTGAAAACGGCTAACGTGGTTTATCAAGTTAGTGGTATTACCTCCTGCATATTCCATTTGTGCGTGACATGAGCGCGTCTTCTCCAGGTCGTGCTTACCAGGTTGTTCATAAAAGCCGAAATATGCCCCGATGTAGGCTTTTAAAGTAGTTGGAGCATTTTTTAGTACTTTCACTCGCGTCTCGCCTCCCTCTGCTGTTGTATGCTACCGCGACAAAGCACACACGCCACAAATGACGTCAGAAAAGCGTCAGTACATTATAATCGGTTATGGTCTATTACTGAACCGATACCAAATCGTCCTCGTCTGCATCATGATGCATCGTAGAAACGATTAATTTTGACACCCCTACCGTGTCGGTGTCCAGTGTCTGTGCCGGTGTCCAGTGTCCGTGTCCAGTGTCCAGTGTCCGTGCTGGTGTCCAGTGTCCGTGTCCAGTGTCTGTGCCGGTGTACAGTGTCCGTGTCCAGTGTCCAGTGTCCGTGCTGGTGTCCAGTGTCCGTGCCGGTGTACAGTGTCCATGCCGGTGTACAGTGTCCGTGCTGGTGTCCAGTGTCCGTGCCGGTGTACAGTGTCCATGCCGGTGTCCAGTGTCCGTGCTGGTGTACAGTGTCCGTGTCCAGTGTCTGTGCCGGTGTACAGTGTCCTTGTCCAGTGTCCAGTGTCTGTGCCGGTGTACAGTGTCCGTGTCCAGTGTCCAGTGTCCGTGCCGGTGTACAGTGTCCGTGTCCAGTGTACGTGCCGGTGTACAGTGTCCGTGTCCAGTGTCCAGTGTCTGTGCCGGTGTACAGTGTCCGTGTCCAGTGTCCAGTGTCTGTGCCGGTGTACAGTGTCCGTGTCCAGTGTCCAGTGTCTGTGCCGGTGTACAGTGTCCGTGTCCAGTGTCCAGTGTCTGTGCCAGTGTACAGTGTCCGTGTCCAGTGTCCAGTGTCCGTGCCGGTGTACAGTGTCCGTGCCGGTGTACAGTGTCCATGCCGGTGTCCAGTGTCCGTGTCCAGTGTCTGTGCCGGTGTACAGTGTCCGTGTCCAGTGTCCAGTGTCCGTGCTGGTGTCCAGTGTCCGTGCCGGTGTACAGTGTCCATGCCGGTGTACAGTGTCCGTGCTGGTGTCCAGTGTCCGTGCCGGTGTACAGTGTCCATGCCGGTGTCCAGTGTCCGTACTGGTGTCCAGTGTCCGTGCCGGTGTACAGTGTCCGTGTCCAGTGTCTGTGCCGGTGTACAGTGTCCTTGTCCAGTGTCCAGTGTCTGTGCCGGTGTACAGTGTCCGTGTCCAGTGTCCAGTGTCCGTGCCGGTGTACAGTGTCCGTGTCCAGTGTCCAGTGTCCGTGTCCAGTGTCTGTGCCGGTGTACAGTGTCCGTGTCCAGTGTCCAGTGTCCGTGCCGGTGTACAGTGTCCGTGTCCAGTGTACAGTGTCCGTGTCCAGTGTCTGTGCCGGTGTACAGTGTCCTTGTCCAGTGTCCAGTGTCTGTGCCGGTGTACAGTGTCCAGTGTCTGTGCCGGTGTACAGTGTCCGTGTCCAGTGTCCAGTGTCTGTGCCGGTGTACAGTGTCCGTGTCCAGTGTCCGTGCCGGTGTACAGTGTCCGTGTCCAGTGTCTGTGCCGGTGTACAGTGTCCGTGTCCAGTGTCTGTGCCGGTGTGCAGTGTCCTTGTCCAGTGTCTGTGCCGGTGTACAGTGTCCGTGTCCAGTGTCCAGTGTCCGTGCCGGTGTACAGTGTCCGTGTCCAGTGTCCGTGCCGGTGTACAGTGTCCAGTGTCTGTGCCGGTGTACAGTGTCCGTGTCCAGTGTCTGTGCCGGTGTACAGTGTCCGTGTCCAGTGTCC